TTTCGCTGAGGTCGGCAACACCTGCATTGCCGACCTCTCCCTGCTGTTCCGGCGTCTGCCCACCCTCATGCAGTCACAGTAGCGTTCACAGTACGGTAGGCACGTGTGGACTGAGGCTTCTCGGAGCAGCGGGTGTCTGAAGCGGGAAAGGGTGGCGTCTCTTTGCCGCACCGCACAGGGGAATATCGAAAATGGCACAAAATTTTTATTTTTGTTTTTAAAGGATATTTTATACAGTACATGTATATACAGTATAATCTGGGTTTAAGAGGATATTTTTTACGAGGACGACCATTTACGCGGCACCTGTCTAGAAGCGATAATTATTATTTAAGCGGTAAATGCCATCATATACGCGGCAAGCGGTGGGGCAAGGTGCTGACGTCACCGCTGACGTCAGACTCGCGCCGGTGACGTCGCGGACTGTGATTGAGCCACCTATCCTTACCACCCACGCATCCCCTCCGCCACGCGCTGTGATTGGTCTAGTAATCCTTGCGACCCCGGCCACCCACGACCTCCACCACCGCCGCGCCAGTCTCACTGTCCCCGCGTATATTCACTCGTGCCCAGGAACCGGTTTTGTTTTTTCTTTCAACACAATGGCTTCCACTGGACCCACACCACCCCCGAGAAGCCCTGAACTACCTGGCCCAAGCCGCCCCAAGCCCAAGAAAGTGCGACGCGCCTTAAGCTATGAGGTAAAGTACAAGATTGTCCAGGAGTTAGAAAAAGGCACGAGACAGGTGGATCTGGCCAGACAATATGGACTGAATGAATCGACGATCCGCACTATCAAGAAGGATGCCGGCAAAATCAATGAACACATGAACATTACCAAGTCTGTACGTGCCTCGCTGGTGAAATATTACCACAATAAGGTGCTGCTGAAGAGCGATAGTTTGTTGGTAAGCTAAATTATTCATCAGTCAAGAAGGAACATGGCGGCCGACACTTGGGCACTGCAGGACTAAGCCCGGGAACTCTATGCAGCAGTAGCAAGAAAAATGGGAGTTGCAGAGCCCAAGCCCTTCAGTGCTTCCGCTGGGTGGCTGCAAGGTTTTAAACGATACAACAAGATCACGAATATTGAGATAGTTGGAGAAGGAGCAAGTGCCGCCGGGCTGCCGCCATGAATTTTCCCCCATTTTTACGGGAAATTATGGAGGAAGGCCAGTACACCGACGACCAAGTGTTCAATATGGATAAATCAGGGTTGTACTGGAAGAAATTGCCATCCAAGACCTTCGTAGTCAAGTCTACTAGCAAGTGTTGGGGATGCAAAATGCAGGAGTGCATCACCGTACTGTTCACCACCAATGCCTCTGGCACTGCGAAGCTGAAGTTGTCTATGATCCACAAAGCCCGCAAGCTGCATGCCTATAAGAATATGGACATGAGCAAGTTAAATGTCCACTGGCTAACCTCAAGGAAGGCATGGATGTTCTCTGGTCTGTCCCTCTCCTGGTTTGACAACTGTCTCGTTCCTGATATCAAGAAATTCTGCGAGGAAAATAATGTGCCACTCAACATTTTGTTGCTCCTCGACAACGCACCAGGACACTCACCCCTTTTGCTGGATCGTCACCACAACATAAGAGTGGTCTTCCTTCCCGCCAACACTACATCGATAATCCAGCCCATGGATCAGGAGTTGATTTGCAACGTGAAGGCTGCTTTCTCTGCCAAGAAGTTTTGGCTCCTGAACGACTTTACCAACACCAAGGATGAACTGCAGAACCTAGAGAGTGGCACCGATAGCGAGAGCGAGGACGAGGAACACGAACAAGATTTGGCGGACCATGAAGTGCGAGTCAAGCAGTTCTGAAGGCTATTTAACGTGAAGAAGGCTGTTGATTTCTTGGTGGAGGCTTGGGGGCAGTTATCTGTGGCAACGATTCGGCACGCGTGGCGTCATGTGTTGGAGGGTATCCCAGGTGGGAGGCAGAGGCAAGCGGTGGCTGGCGAGGCTCAGTCTGTTGCTGTGGCATTAGAGAATGCAAGAGAGGCTGCACAAGGTGTTGGAGCTGCAGGCTTCTCCGAGACCACCAACGACGACATCCTGGAGGTAATCAGGCAACCTGAGATGACTGCAGACGAGATGTTGTTAGATGATGACATCAGTGAGCAGCGAGGTGTTACAGAACAACAAGAGCAGAAACGAACACATGCTGATGTGAAGAAAGTCATCGAGTTAGCCGAGAGAATGAAGCTCATTCTTGCCAAAGACCCAGTGAATCATCGCTACGAAGTGTCTAATAACCATCTGTTGAAATACCAGGAGCCCTATGTTCAGCTGTATCATGACCACATCAATGCTAGCTGTCAACAAAACATCACCGAGTTCTTCACCAACCAAACACTATAGCCAGCCCAAGTCAGTGATAGTGAGGATGTGGACTTCGAGGGAGTTTGACGAGGAGGCCCTGCAAGCCTCTGTGGTGGATAGGTTGACAGGTGAGGGCCAATAATCTGCCCCTCTGCCTCGGAACCAACCCCCCATCCCCGTGTGCCCAGATGTCTCTTCTACTAACGTAAGTGTTAAAAAACCTAATATTATTGATATTTCTCTTATACAGTATAGTTTCGATTTACGAGGACTTCGTTTACGCGTTTGGTCATTTACGCGGCACCTTGCCAGACCGACCATTTTTATTTACGTGGTATTTTCCATCATTTACGCAGGACGCGGTGCGGGCAGGGTGTGCACAAGGTCACCCAGTCAACAAAACATTACCGAGTTCTTCACCCACCACCCACTACAGCCAGTCCAAGTCAGTGATAGTGATAGGGAGGATATGGACTTTGAGGGGTTTGACAAAGAGGCCCTGCAAGCCTCTGTGGTGGATAGTGATACAGGTGCTACAAGTGATACAGGTGAAGGCCAATAATCTACCCTCTGCCTCAGAACCAACCCCCCATCCCTGTGTACCCAGCCATCTCTTCTACTAACGTAAGTGTTAAAAAACCTAATATTATTGATATTTCTCTTAAATATTAATTGTGTGTGCATACCATCATAAAATTAAGATGTTATTTTTACTACAACGTACGTATTGTGTCTGGTGAAGTATAATTTGTTTATTTAATTGAGATTTTTGTTTTTAGCTCATAAAATTCATAGAAATTACCCGGCCAGAATATAATTTACAGTGCTGGAATTCTTATAAGATATAGTGATTAATTTGAATATAAATAAGCTAAAATTTGCATTCGACATACAAATTTTAGATCTAATTTAAGAATTTTATTAGAGAGCAAAAATTTTACCTTTTGTGCAAAATAGATGACGTTTATATTCAAATTATTCGCTGTCTTGCAAGGAACCTAGCAATGTAAATTATATTCTCCTAACTTTAGTTTGAGGTATTATTTATTACTAAACCTGTAAGCCAAGTCCTTTTCCCCAAACATTTCTCAGGAAGGTGGGGGGTAGGTGAGGGGTAGGGAGGAAGGGAGGGAAGGAGGGAGGGAGCCAGCAGCATGGGAAGAGGGGGAGTTGAGTCCATTATTTGAACGGACATTAACCGGCGACTGTATTTCTCTTAAATATTAATTGTGTGTGCATACCATCATAAAATTAAGATGTTAGTTTTACTACAACATACATATTGTCAGAAAAAGTGTAGTTTGGGGGTCGGCCCAGTCTCTATTTCAATTAATCCCATATGCTCTGTTATTTCGTTTACGCGTTTCTTGGTTTACGCGGACCTCCACGGGTTCAATTGACCGCGTAAATCGAGACTATACTGTATATTGATTGTGTGTGCATACCATCATAAAATTAAGATGTTATTTTTACTACAATGTACGTATTGTGTTTGCAATAGCCAAAAAAGGGTAGTCTGGCGGTCGGTCCAGTCTCTATTTCAATTAATCCCATAGGTTCTGTTATTTTATTTATGCGTTTCGTTTTATACACGAACCTCCATGGGTTTAATTAACTGCGTAAAGCCAGACTATACTGTATATAATTTTTTAGTAAAAAACCGCGAATGGTCAAAACAGTGATAAAAAAAAACCCGCAAAAAACACGGGATTACTATACAGTACTACAAACACTTCTCTTGGGACTCCATCTTTAACAACCAAAACATAAGAAATTACAGTAAAGTACAGTGATCCCTCGGTTAACGAACACCTCGGTTAACAAAATTTCGGTTAACGAATTACCTTCCATAAGAATCTTCAATTCGGTTAACGAAAAAAATTCGGTTAACGAATTCCTTACAAATTCTTAATATGTTTTCGCTTGCTCACCAGCTGGAATTTTAGTCCGCCAATACAGTAATCGGTTCTAGGGCATAAATTCGTTCCCATTTGAGTAAATATCAAGAAGGTTGTACTATTCAATAATTTTAATAGTTTTATATTAAAATTTTTAGTCATTTTAACAATTACTGAACATAATTGAAGTACAGGGAACTAGTTTTTAGCGCGCCAAACAGCCACTTGACTCACCCAGAATGGCGTCAGTTTGTGTCTCTGCTCAGTGGAGGTAACATCTTGCTTGAGACTCTCTTGAACATAAACTATTTTTACATTTTTACAGTACAATTATTGGTCAGTCTGAAATTTATTTTACATATTGACAATATATAGAGCAGTGCAGTGTTGATTTAAAGAAAATAATCATGAATTACACCTAGTGAACTTAAAATTTTATGGGTGAAATGGCAGCATGAAGCATGGGGTAATTTGTCTTCCACCCCCACTTCCTTCTCTTCTCCCTTCTCCTCCACCCCCCACTTCTAATTCCCATCATCATCATCATCATCAACCAGGAGCCTTCTACATGCACACCTCAACGTAAGTGTACTTTACTGCATTTATTTTTAGTTTGTATGTAATTTTCGGTGAGCTGGAACCAATTACCTAAAATCCCACTGAAACAATGGCTTCATTTTACAAAATTTTCGGTTAACGAACGACCTTCTGGAATGAATTGTGTTCGTTAACCGAGGGACCACTGTACCCAGTAATTGAGCAATGAAACTTACCAGCTTAGTTGGTACAAGACCATCATGTGTGTGGTATGGGGAAGACCAATAAATCACAGACACAAACAGAGCAAATCCCAGGAACAAGTATAACTTCTGTTGGCCCTCCATGTCCCTCAGATAGTGAGGTGTTGAACACATCTAATCAGGTCACGTTCTTTCCTGGAATTTGTAAAAGATGTTGTATGACTCTCAAAATATTACTATGTACATGTTAAGTAAATAAAGACACTCATACACAGTACAGCTATTCTTCTATTTCCTAAATCTCGTTATTCAAAATTTCATGTTAACAAAATACACAAATTAAGGACTTTTTTCCTGTACAGTATATGCAAACAATTTTCATATCTACAAATTCTTATGCACATACCCAGTGTACAGCTGCACTGATGACTATTTAGTGTACACACAGTAATATTTTACCCTCCAGCATATTTAATTAAAAACAATTAACATGTTACTGTACATAAATTACAATTTTGATACAAACCCACCAGACATTAAATTATTCAAATATGTATCCTGTATCTACACTCTACTGGTAACACAAATGTTTTTTTGTCTTGGACACGTAGCATATGCAGCTCCGCCCCGACTTACAACGGGGCTAGGGACCCAAATCCAGGTCATAGGTCGAAATGGTAGTAAGTCGAAAATGCTTAAATAATATACATAGAAAATCTAAAATGGGTGTCTCTTTTTCTTCTCAGCACCACAAAACTCTCACTTTTAAGCTTGCCAGCCATTTTAAAGTGAATCACAAACAAAAAATTTATCTGTGTACCGACGTTGGGACTCGAAAATACGTAATTTGAAAATTTTTTGGTACGACTGAGGCAGGTCGTAAGTGCGAGTGGTCGTAAGTCGAGTAGGTCGTAAATCAGGAGGAGCTGTACATCTACAGTACCAGAGATTCAGTAAAGTACTGTCAGAAGCGTGGACAACTTCAGCAGACACCAGAAATGGAGGTCTTTGAAGTGTGATGTTATAAGCAAATACAAAGAATAAGCTACACTGACAGGGAAACAAATGAAGAAGTACTGTACTAAGATTAGCAAAATCTTCAAGAGAAATGTTCGAGATGCTTAGAGATGAGGAGATAATACAGAAATATTAATGGGCAAAGTTGAGTGTAGGAGGGTTACGGGAAGATAGAGACTAGAATGGATGAATGAAATTAAAAACTGGTCCCCAGAGATGCAAAACCTTGGAGGATTGGTAAAAACAGCCCAAGAATGTTTAAAGGGGAGGAGGACTGTGGTTGCAAACCCTCATATATGAGGACAGCAATCTGAGTGATTGCTTGATGGTACACACATTAATATTTTACCCTCCAGCTCATTATTTTTTTATTTAAACTAAAGTACTGTTTTATCATTTTATTAATTGTTTACAATGCTGTACTCCACCCTGTAAATCATTACAGTACAGTAATCTTTATTACTACTATATTTTCTAAATGGAATTTACACGTTTTTTAAGTTAAGAAAAAGAGATGGGAAGACCTATTTTAACTCTGGTTTCCCCTAGTCAACAGAGGTGGGAGGACAATTATTATGTTTAAATAAAATATATTAAATTTAACCTACGGTCAATCCTCGCTTTATGCGGTCCCACTTTACGCGTTTCCACGTTTACGCGGTACCCTGCCGAACACGAAATGCTCACTTTCCGCGGTGCGTGTACCCCTTTACGCGGAGAGCAGCTGGCGGTCCTCTCGCGCCGCGCCATTTTTGGACCCAAACCTCCAGCCATCTCTCCCGCCCTCTCCCGCCATGTTGTGTAAGCGGCGCGAGTAGGTTGCGCAGTGTATGTCTTTGTTGCGTTATCGGTGACGTCATATGATGTAGCGGACTGTGATTGGGCAAAGCATCCTTACCTCCCTCCCTGCTAGCTGTGATTGGTTTAATGTACTATGACGTGCCCCGCCGCGGAAGCGTTCAAGCTCCTTGACCTACCGCATCAGTTACACCCCTCCCGGCTTCACCGTGTATATCGGCATCCATTGTTCCATAAGAATGGCTTCCACCGGACCACCACCACCACCACAAAGAAACCTTGCATTACCTGGACCCAGCCGCCTTAAGCCAAAGAAGATACGACGTTCCTTAAGCTACGAAATAAAATATAAGATCATACAAGAGTTGGAGAAAGGAACAAGGCAGGTTGATCTCGCGCGCCAGCATGGTGTTAACGAATCAACTATCAGGACAATTAAGAAGGATGCAGCCAAGATACAGGAGAACATGAACATCACAAAGTCTACAGGTGCTTCTATGATCAAGTATTTCCACAACCAGGTGCTTCTCAAGATGGAAAAATTACTTGTGAGCTACTTGGTGCGTCAGGCGAGACGGAACATGGCGATGGACACGCGCTCAGTTAAGGAGTACGCACGTGAACTGTATGCTGCATTGTTACGAAAGATGGGAATTACAGAGCCCAAACCCTTTAATGCTTCCTCTGGGTGGTTACAGAGGTTTAAGAAGAGGAACAAGATCACCAATATCAACATTGGTGGTGAAGAAGCTAGTGCTGAACGTGTTGCGGCTAGGAAATTTCCTCTGTTTTTACGAGAGATTATGGAGGAAGGACAGTACACCGACAACCAGGTGTTTAACATGAACGAATCTGGTCTTTTTTGGAAAAAGCTACCTTCCAAGACCTTCCTTGTGAAGAATGCCAGCAAGTGTCGGGGCCGGAAGTTGCAGAAGGAGCGCATCACCGTCCTGTTTACCACCAATGCCTCCGGTACCTGTAAGCTCAAGTTATCGATGATCCACACAGCACGCAAGCCGCACGCCTACAAGAGCATGGACATGACCAAGCTAAATGTCCACTGGCTGACCGCACATAAGGCGTGGATGTTCTCTACACTGTCCCTCTCCTGGTTTGATGGCTGTTTCATTCCCGATGTGAAGAAATTCTGTGAGCAACAGAATGTGCCATTCAAGATTTTGTTGCTGCTTGACAACGCACCAGGACACTCGCCCCTACTGATAGATCGTCACCCCAACGTAAAAGTGGTCTTCCTTCCTCCCAACACTACGTCTATAATACAGCCCATGGACCAAGAATTGATCTGTAATGTAAAAGCTGCATTCTCTACGAAAAAATTCAACCTGCTGAACAACTACACCAACACCAAGGAAGAGCTGAGTAACCTGAGTCACACCAACACCGATAGCAAGAGCGAAGACGACAAGGATCAACAGTTGGCAGAGCAAGAAGTACTTTTGAAACAATTCTGGAGAACATTCAACGTCAAGAAAGCTGTGGACTTCTTGGTGGAGGCATGGGATCAGCTGTCTGTAGCAACTGTTCGTCACGCATGGAGACATGTGTTGCAAGGCATTCCGGGTGTTAGGCAGAGTAAATCTGTGACTGGTGAGGTTCAGACTGTTGCAGTAGCAGTGGACCTTGCCAGAAAAGCTGCGCAGAGTGTTACAGCTGCAGGCGTCTCCGAGACCACCAACGACGACATCCTGGAGGTGATAAGGGATCCTGATGTGACTACCGACGAGATGGTAGATGATGATGACGACGTCAGTGAAGAGGCAGGTGGTGCGTCATCCCAAGAAGAACGCCGCTTATCCCATAGTAATGTAAGGGGTGCCATCGAGTGTAATGAGAAAGTCAAGCTCCTCCTTTCCGACGACCCTGACGCTAACAGGTATGAAATCTTCACTACCCAGCTGTTGCAGACTATGGAGCCCTACTTCAAGGTTTATCACGACAACATAAACACCAGCCGTCAGCAAAGCATAACAGAGTTCTTCGCCCGCAACCCACCACAGCCAGCCCAAGCCAGTGATAGGGACAGAGGCAGAGACAGTGATGATGACTTTGAGGGATTTGTCAGGGAGGCACTAGTAAGTGTGGATGACACCGATGAAGACTCACCTGAGGGCCAGTAGCCTGCCCTCTGCCTTGGAACCAGCCTCCATTCCCCTACGCCGACCCATCTCTTCTACTAACGTAAGTGTTAACCCAAACCTTGTTTTTTCTAACCTAACCTTCAGTTTATTATTCTCTTATTGATTGTTCCCTTCTATATTATGTGTGTGTTAATACCATCATAAAGTTAAGATGTTATTTTTAGTAAAACGTATGTATTGTGTCGGGAAAAAGTGGAGTTTGGGGATTGGCCCGGTCTCTATTTTAATTAATCCCATATGTTATGTTGTTCACTTTACGCGGGCCGCCGTGGGTTCAATTAACCGCGTAAAGTGAGGGTTCACTGTATTTTGTATTTCTTATGATTACTTTCACCCATGGCCCATCGTGGCCAAAACATCCTGGGATCGTGGCCCATTGCCGAATCGTCCATCCACCATTCAAGACAGACAACTTTCCCTGATTCAACTCCTATTGTATAATGGCTAAGATATTCTTTCAGGACTTGCTCTCACAATTCCTAGCCTAACCTAACATTCACTTCTGATTATTTTACTCAATAAATAACTGAGGCAAATTCAAATACAACCTAAAAAACTACTGGGTGAAAATTATAATAAAAACATAAAAATTATATCAGTTACATTTAGAATAAGTCAACAATATTAGCTGTGTGTATTACCTGTTTACAATTAGCCAGAGTAGCAGTACCCGGCTGTCATGGGTTGCGTTAGGCTTACCCACGCAACCAACTCCAAAGTTTGTTTTACTAGAGATAAGACACCCGGCGAGGCATAACTGGGACATGTATTTCACATTAGTTTATGTTAGCCAGCCTTTAGGGGGGGGTGGGCAGTGAAACAGTGTTGTACTGTTCATCGCTTCACACCCAAAAAAAACCTCATTTTAAGTAGTATCCCCTGGACCATGGCATAGTTAAGACATTGTCTCCATCCTCTCCCTCCTGAAAGGGGGCGGGACACCACACCACACAGAGTCCTCCACTGCCACTCCGTCCTGTGAACCGTCGTCGACACGAGACTAAGCGTGTTAACCTAGGTTGTTATCCCCGTGGAAATATCACGTGTGGATGCCTGGTTGCAACAAGAGCAATCCAGGCTGGCCTATCAAACCTACAGTAAATGGTTAATCAATTCACGCTTAGAGTTCTCCTGCACAACACCCGTCTACAGTGACCGTGATCGACACGAGACTAAGTGTGTTAACCTAGGTTTGTTATCCCCGTGGAAATATCATGTGTG